TACAGATTAGGAAAATCTACAGATATAAATCAACAACACTTCTAAATAGAGTGAAATAAAAATGCATTTAGCATTTATTAACGTATATTCCACTGCGTGTCCTAATTTCTCTCCCCCCATAACACCCGATAAGCACCGTTCTCATAGGAAAACATGCAGATTGTAGGGATTAATGAGTGGGGCTACATAAGCTACTGTTGCCCGATACTCTTAACGAGAAACTTTCTAATTAATACATCTGTAATTAAGAGGGCTTACTCGCATGTCTATTTGATAGTTAATGGGGTTTAACATGATTGGCAGCTTCAAAATTGGACTTCATTGCTTCAAAGAAAATACTAGCTCGTGGGTAAAACTCTGGCAACGTTAGGATACATTTTAGCAAAAGAACTTTGTGATGTGGACCATTCTCAGTTGCAGAAAACGATTGTGCGTATGAAAAAAATTTATCTTACTTCTGTTAAGTGTTAAGTAGACGTGGATGGTGTACATAATTTGGACCTTAAGGTTTTTTAGAAAGCTCACCAACTCACCAGGCCGTAGCTCATGTGAGTTTTCATCCATATTCAATGACATCATAACCTCTGAACAATGATCAAATGATTTCATCAGGCAATCCGCAATGTGATGGTAACTGTCGGTCAGGAGAATATAATGGGCGTTATCATTTAAAATTTTTAGGTGAATTTTTAACTGTAAAAACTGCAAAAAAACGGCAAAACTGCTTCAGAGTTTAAGATAAACGTCTGTGTCTACCATTGAAACAAAAACGAGACAGGAAACTAGCTGTGTTTTTCAATCATGGCCTTCCTAGGTCGCGTTCATACCAGTTCAATCAAAAGGCTGTGGCTGGAAAGGACCATTAACTATGTACTTTTCTAGATCGAACCACTTTCCCGAAAACGACAGAGCATGGATTCACAACGTAGACGGGAAATGCTAACCTGCAAGGCAGCTTGCCCGGTTTGGGATTCTACGATTTTCATAAGTGAGGTTGAGAAATGGCCAAAGGCTGCTGACACGTAGGTAAGGCATGAGCATTTCACACACTCCGTCCCTGACGAGAATTATGTCAACTTAGTTTAGCCACCTATTTTAGTATATGAAATATTCCATATAAACTAGGGATACTACGAGAAACGACTGGTGGCCGGGTGCTTACAATAAAACGTTGATTGCACCTTTATCTTACAGCCGATATCTCAGAATAGTTCGAAACAATCCGTCGAGAACTTTTCAATGACACGTACTCGAGCTTATGAAACACAGAATGAAATAGAAAAACATGTAGTAGCCGCTGTAGTAACCCGTGATCGCTGACTCATCACGCGGAGACTGCAGTCGCGATGACTGCCCGCACCCTGTCCACCGCTCGCGCAATGTCGGGCGCGACCTGCTTACATGCCCAGTATCGGCTGCAGCAACGCTAGTGCGTAAGCTC